CCATTGACTCGAGTCCATTAAGATCCTCAAGATCAGCAGACAACAAGGCAGGTGCTGAATGACGACTCGGCTACATGCAGGATTCAAGCGTGGCAAAAGCTGCAGACCATTCCCAAAGGTTCTTCTTATATACTGGAAGCAGACCACATCCCTAAGGCAGCTACTCAGCTGCTCCAGTAGATTCCACCATGGAGGTGATTACCAGACTCCCCACAAGGAATAACTCAAACCAGGCCCACCCAGTAAGAACCTGGGATAAAATAACTTGGACTTATAGCACTTTGGCAGAGATGGATGTATCATTCTCTCATTCTCTGCATCAGTGTATGTGAATACCCATTTCATTAGAGCCTTGCCAGCACTGATTATTTATAGCAAAAATAAATAAATAAAATCTGCATTAATTAAAAATTAAAAAAAAAAACAGGCCCATACACATACTCTTAACTACCACACTAATCAATATATTTAAAGGCGGGGGGGAGTACTATACAAACTTTTTCAGGCAAGAAAGAGAAGTTAAAAGCATATCAGAAGGAACAAGTAAAACTACGGATAAACAAAATGTGGTATAAGTATAAACCAAAAAAAAAAACCTCCACAAACTCACTGCTGTCAAGTCAATTCTGACTCATAATTATGACACTACAGGACAGAGTGGAGCTTCCCCCTAGGGTTTCCAAGGCTATACATTTTTACAGAAGCAGAGTGCCATATCTTTCTCATGCAGAGCAGCTAGTGAGTTCGAATGGCTGACCTTTCAGTTAGCAGGCAAGTGCTTAACCACAGCACCACCAGGACTGGATATATCAACACAAGGAACTACTATTCACCAATAAAATAGAACAAACCACTAATGCATGCAATAACATGGGTGAACCCCCAAAACATTATGTAAAGTGTAAGAAGCCAAACACAAAAGAATACATATTCTATGATTCCACTTACAAGAAATTTCTAGAAAAGGAAAAATAGAGACAGAAAGCAGATTAGTGGCTATAAAAACAATAGTGATCCAAATGCAAAAGAAAAACTATGGGTCCATGTTGCTATTGCTGTCAGCTTCTGTCAAGTTGGCTCTTCATGATCTCTGCTATACTTGAGCCCTCGTTGCAACCTCTGTGTCAATCCATCTTGCTGATGTCTTCCCCTTCTTCACCGACCTTCCACTTTACCTAGCATGATACCCTTCTACAGGGAATGCCCTTCTGACAACATGACCAAAGTAGGCGAGACGAAGTCTGGCCCCTTGCTTCCAAGGAGCATTCCAGCTGTACTACTTTCAGGACACATCTGTTCGTTCTTCTGGCAGTTCATGGTATTTTCCGTATTCTTTGCCAAGACTACAATTCAAAAGCATCAACTCTTTTCAGTCTTCCTTATTCAACTGTCCAGCTTTCATATGCATATGGGGCAAGTGAAAATACCATGGCTTAGGTTATGCACACATTAGTCTTCAAAGTGACATCTTTGCTCTTCAACACTTTAAAGACATCTTGTGCAGCACATTTGCCCAGTGATACACGTCTGATTTCCTGACTGCTGCTTTCATAGGTGTTGATTTTAGATCCAAGTAAAATGAAATACTTGACAACTTCAATCTTTTCTCCACTTATTGTGATGTTGCTTATTGGTCCAGTTGTGAAGATTTTCATTTTCTTTATGTTGAGGTGTAACCCATACTGCAGACCATAGTCCTGAATCTTCATCAGTAAGTGCTGCAAGTCATCTTCACTTTCAGCAAGCAAGGTTGTGTCATCTGCATATCTCAGGTTGTTAATGAGTTTTCGAACAATATTGATGCTGTGTTCTTCTTTGTATAGTCCAGCTTCTCGAATTACATACTCAGCAACGCAATGCAACACAACCATTGCCATGGAGTCAGATCCAACTCATAGCTACCCCTCCTTGGGTTTCCGAGGCGGTATCACTACAAAAGTAGATCGCCCAACCTTCCTTCCAAGGAGTGGCTAGTGGGTTTGAACCACCAGCCTTTTGGTCAGCAGTCAAATGCCTTAGGCACTACACTACCAGAGCTCCTATATGTTCAGCAAAAAGATTAAATAAGTATGGTGTAAGAATACAACCCTGATGCACACCATTCCTGATTTTAAACCATAGTGTCTAAAGCATTTGACTGCTAACCAGAAGGCTGGCGGTTCAAACCCACCAGCCACTCCTCGGAAGGAAGGTGGGACAATTTAATTCTGTAGTGATACTGCCTCGGAAACCCAAGAGGGGCCGCTATGAGTCGGGTCTGACTCGATGGCACGTAACAACAACAACAGTAAGCCCTTGTTCTGTTCAAACCACAGCCTCTTGGTCTGTGTACAGGTTCCTCATGAGCACATTAAGTGTCCTGGAATTCCCATTCTTTGCAATGTTATCCATAATTTGTTATGATCCACACAGTCAAATGCTTTTGCATAGTCAATAAAACACAAGTAAATATCTTTCTGGTATTCTCTGCTTTCAGTCAAGATCCATCTGACATCAGCAGTGATATTCCTCTTTCCATATCCTCCTCTGAATCCAGCTTGAATTTCAGAAAGTTCCCTGTCAATGTACTGCTGCAACTGTTTTTTAATTATCTTCAGCAAAATTTTACTTTCATGTGATATTAATGATGTTATTCAATAATTTCCCCATTCAGTAGGATCATCTTCCTTTGAAACAGGTACAAAAATAGATCTCTTCCAGTCAGTTGGCTAGGTACCTATCTTACAAATTACTTGGCATAGATGAGTAAGTGCCTCCAGTGTGGCACCATTTGTTGAAACATCTCAATGGGTATTGTCATTTCCTGGAGCCTTGTTTATTGCCCAATGCCTTCAGTACAGCTTTGACTTCTTCCTTCAATACCATTGGTTCGTGATCACGTCACCTCCTAAAATAGCTAAAACATCGACCAATTCTTTTCGGTACAGTGACTCTGTGTATTCTTTCCATCTTCTTTTGATGGTTCCTGAATCATTCAAAATTTTGCCCAGAGAATCTTTCAATATTGTAACTCAAGGGCTTGAATTTATTCTTCAATTCTTTTAGTTTGAGAAATGCCAAGCATGTTCTTCCCTTTTGGTTTTCTAACTCCAGGTCTTTGCACATTTCATTATAATAATTGACTCTGTCTTCTGGAGCTTCTCTTTGAAACCTTCTGTTTCTTCTGTTCAGCTCTTTTATCTTGTCATTTCCTCCATCTCCTTCAGCTATTCTCCAGTCAAAAGCAAGCTTCATAGTCTCTTCTGACATCCATTTAGTTCTTTTCTCCCTTTCCTTTCTTTTTAATGACCTTTTGCTTTCTTCATGGATGATGTTCTTGATGTCATGCCAGAAATCCTCTGGTTTTCAGTCACTGGTGTTCAATGCATCAAATCTATTCTTCAGATGGTCTCTAAATTCAGGTGGTATATATATATAATCAAAGTCATAATTTGGCTCTCGGGGACTCGTTTTAATTTTCTTCAGCTCCAGTCCCTGGAGAAGGATATATCATGCTTGGTAAAGTAGAGGGTCGGCAAAAAAGGGAAAGATTTGAACAAGATAGACTGACACAGTGTCTGTGACGATGGGCTCAAGCATGGCAAAGAGTGTGAAGATGGCATGGGATCAGGCATTGTTTTATTCTGTTGTACACAGGGTCAGAGCTGCCTAGCTGTCACCTAACAACAAGAGACAGACTGATCAGTCTTAGAAGAAATACAACCAGAATGTTGCTTTGAAGCAAGATGGCTAGATTTCAACTCCCTTACATTGGACACATCACCGGGAAAGAACAATTACTAGAAAAGGACATGACGTTTGGTAGTGACCCAACAAAAATGAGGGAAACCCTCAATGAGATGGACTAACACAATACCCACAACAACTGATTCAAACATACAAATAGTCATAAAGATAGCACAGAAAGAGGCAAGGTTTTATTGTCATACGTAAGTTTTACAGAAGTTGGAGCCCACTCAACAGTGGGCTAACAACATAAGACAGAAAGTAGGTTAGTTGTTGCCTAGGGCTGGGAGGTTATAGAGAGAATAGGGTACTGCTAAAGGGTACAGCATTTCTTTTGGGGCTGATGAAGGTGTTTTAAAATTGATTATCGTAATGGTTGCACAACTCTGTGAATATACTTAAAACCACTCAACTGTACATTTCAAATAGGTGAATTGTATGGTATGTGAATTATGTCTCAACAAATATATTACTAATGAAATTATTCAATAATTTCATTATTGAAGACCTCAAGTTAAAAAGAAATTAGTTTGTAGATATTTAGTGTTTAATTTATTCTTTCCTTAGTTAGGAAGCTCTCTGGTGGCATAGTGCCTAAGGTATTTGACTGCTAACCAGAAGGCTGGTGGTTCAAACCCACAAGCCACTCCTTGGAAGGAAGGTTGGGCAATCTACTTCTGTAGTGATACTGCCTCAGAAACCCAAGGAGGGACCGATATGAGTTGGATGCGACTCGATGGCAATGAATTTGGTTTTTAGTTTTTGGTGGCGTAATGCCTAAGGCATTTGACTGCTAACCAGAAGGCTGGCAGTTCAAATCCACCAGCCACTCCTCGGAAGGAAGGTTTGGCAATATACTTTCATGGTGATACTGCCTCGGAAACCCAAGGAGGGGTCACTATGAGTCAGATCCAACTCAACGGCAGTGAGTTTGTTTTTGGTTTTTTCCTTCTTATTTAAAATAATCTAGTATATTATTGTAGGATTTTAAAAGAAACAAGACACTCACCTCATAGAAACTTTAGAATTTTTAACTCCCTTGGGAGTAGAACCCTGTCTCTTTAACAAGAAAATCTACTGTCCAACTTTTATATCCTGGGCTTTGATACATATTTTTCTGGAACACGTGTTAAATAAGTAGCACATAACCTATATTTTAAGTCCTATAACCAAAGTATGATAAAAATACTGAGAAAGTACAGTAGTTGGAATTATCCTGACGTAGTTTACCATTATCTCTAACTAGAAGATGTTCCTGTCAGTTTGCAACTCACCTTCATCATGACACTCAGTGCATATTTTTGATCTTCCCGTTTTGCTGCCATTTTTGCTTCTGTAGCTTCTTTTGCCTTTTCTTGTGCTTGTAAAATAGATTTTTCTCTTATTCTTTGCATCATCTCTTTGTCAACTAAAACATCAAGAATATCACTAAATCAGCATTACAAAGAATTTGTTTTACTTAGGTAAAAACTGCTTAATATACTCATCCGGGATAAGATTTCTTTTGCTCCAACTTTACATGGAGGAGTGACATTATTTCTCAATTATAAACTGATTGAGAAGCTAACGTCAAGTGGTAAGCAAGTAGGGGGCAAAGTTATGAAAACTTCTTACTCATAACCAAACATATTGAGTATTGAGTCACTGGGCCCGGGTGTCAGGATCACAGTCTTGAGGGACAACAAGGTCATGGCATAACACAGTCCACAAAGACAAGGTCCTAAATCCTACTCCAGTAAGCAGTGTCTTAAGTGTGTGAGCAGCCATCTAAGGTCTCTCCCCATCTGGAGCAAAGAAGAGTGAAAAAAAATGATACAAAGAAATAATTGGTCCATCAGACTAATGGCCGTATCAACCCCAACCTCCATGACCCAGAGACCAGAAGAAATATAATATGGTGCCTGGCTACCACTGCTGAATGCCCTGAAAGAGATCTGAACAGAATGGAAGAAAAATGTGGAACAAAACTCAAAATAATAAAAAGACCAGGCTTACTGGTCTGACGGAGACTGGTCGAACCTCTAAGACTATGGCCATTAGATTCCCTTCAGGTCTAGAACTGAACTCACTCCCTTGGCTCAAGTATCTGCCAAACTATACACAGGCCTATAAGGTGAACAATAACACCAGGTAACCATGCATTCCTTAGGACAATCAGTTGTATGAGACCCAAAGGGCTGAAACTGCCTAGGGATAAAGCTCAGAAGGCAGGAAGAGATAGGCAAGAAGGACAAACAGAAATGGGAAACACATGGAAGAAGTGGGAAGAGTGTTGTTACATCATGAAAACTGCAAAAAATGTCACAAAACAAAATGTGTATGGATTGTTAAATGGAAAACTAATTTGGTCTATAAACTATCACCCAAATCAAAAGTTAAATAAAAATAAATAAAGGTAAGCAAGTAAGTAGTAATATGAACTATTACAGAATGAAAGCATGAGAGAGAGGGCAGGGGTTAGGGATTGAGAGGGGGAGAGAGAACTCAAGAGTGAGACTGAGAGCAAGAGAAAGGGGGAGAGGGACAGAGGAAGCAGTAGAGAGCAGATAAGGGAGAAAGAGATATTATGATGATGAATGTGAGGGAGAAATACATTTATCCTTCTACTTCTGACCGCTGAGAAACTAGGGCTATTTCTCTATAAACCTGATCACAGTAAATCTTTGCTATGAGGTCCCCTAAGGAGCTCTAGTGGCACAGTGGTTAAGGCATTTGGCTGCTAACCAAAAGGTCCGCAATTCAAATTACTACCCACTCTATGGAATAAAGATGAGGCAGACTGCTTCTGTTGATATTTACCACCTTGGAAACCCTATAGGGCAATTCTACTCTGCCCTATAGGGTCACTATGAGTCAGAATAGATTCAATGGCAGTGGGCTTTGTCTTTTTATGGATGGGGACTCCAAAGGAGCTCTGGTGGCACCGTGGTTAAAGTATTTGGCCGCTAACCAAAATGTTGGTGGCTGCAACCCACCAGCTGCTCCATGGGAGAATGATGAGGTAGTTATGGGGCAATTCTAATCTGTCCTACACGGTCACTATGAGTCAGAATTGACTTGATGGCAGTGAGTTTTTGTTTTGTTTTTTATTGGAGTCTCCTAGAAGAGAAGAGGGTTGAGATTACCTGACATAATAAATCACCTATGTAAGTGTAAAGTGGTAATTTATGCATATGAAGAGTACGGGGTCAGCTTAGGACAAATTCTAATGTAACATATGTTATATATAAACTTTACCATTCACAATCATTTCTATATTCAGTAACTAAATGTTTTACAAACTACAACTCATGATCCATTAGGGAGTAAATTACCTTATGGAAGGAGAGACCAGGTCCTGAGGGAACGGATCAGGCCTTTGAGAAGAAAAAAAGGAGGGCAATGGAGGAAATTGAGACCAAGAGGGAAGACTTCCAGTTAGACCCTAGGCAGGGATTCTTAACCTGTTTTGTGCAGCAAACCTCTAGGTAATATAGTGAAGCCTTTATGGACCCCATCTCACAATAATCTTTTAAATGCATAAATTAAAATATGACTACAAAGAAAAACAGTTAAATTAAAATATACTTACATAATAATAAAAACAATGATATACTAAAATGTGTTTCTTCAGGAAGAGAAAAACAAAACCACGGAGAAAATTGTCCAAGATTTGCTGGAGGAGAACTTCCCTGACATGATGAAAGATGAGAATATATCCATTCAGGGAGTCCAACGAACCCCAAACAGGATAGACCCCAAAAGAAAATCACCAAGACATATCATCATCAAATTCATCAAAACCAAAGACAAAGACAGAATCCTGAAAGCAGCACGGGAAAAACAAAAAGTTACCTACAAAGGACAGCCAGTAAGAATAAGCTCTGATTTCT